TAGGCTAATACTATTGAAATATCAGGCAGAGGCCTTTCGGAGTTTTTTTCCCTTGGCCCTACTGGGTCTTAATAATGAATTACTTGCATAATTTTGAATACAAAGTTTGTCGTTACTATTCTACTAGAGGAAAAAGAAATGGAAAATTTCAGTGTGGAACTGTGATAAAGAAAGTTCCATTTTTATATTAGCATTCCAGAGACTAAATATTGCCTGAGATTTAAATGGTGAAAAAAGTTGTTTACAACCTACGTTTATCTGTAAAAGCTCTAAAGACTTGTCTTCAACTCATCAAGGTTCTAAATACTTGTATTTTTGTGTGGTTATGTCGAACCATTTGTGACCATTGCGACTGGTTAAAGTCATTGGATTTTTCCTTACAAGTGTCTAGAATTTGATTCAACGCTTTTAAATACTAAAGCACAATAACTACGTCAAATTTGTGCGTCATTTTCGTGGCTATTAGATACTATTTTGATACTCTTTCCTTTTTGTTTTTTTCTTACGTCAATAATTAAGAAGTTTATCACCTTTTTGTCGTCGACTGAACTGCGCAAAAATACATTGCAACTACGGAAAATAGTTATCGCGGAAGAAGAAAAATCAAACAAACAAAAACCAAAACACAAAAAAAGAAACAAAACGCACAAACGAACAAAAACCTTCAAAACTATGAGTTTATGATCAACCTGGTCCTTGTTGATATTAGGTATATGTTTTTTCTTTACTTGCAACTAAAAGTTCTTCATTTGATGGCATAATTGAACACTTCGTCAGCAGCGTGAAAATCTGACAGCAGTGTCAATGATCATGCTGAAAGTAAAGTACGTTACATGTTAAATCCCTGATGTACATGTACTTACGAATCGATTTATATATCCTGTCATTACGTGAATTAAATTTGCTTCACATTCAGTCTGTACCTGCCGATAATGTTTAAGATAGAGATGAAAGGTTAACTACGTCACATGTTAAAAACCTTCTACACATGTACCTACGGAGCGAGTTATCACGATGAGTCCTCGTGCTGCGCAACGTAAATTTACTTCGTATTCAGTCTTTACCACAGTAGCGTGAAACACAACCTGGCGGATGATGAAGTTTGTAGATGAAGTAGGATCCACAGTTTTAAAAAGAAATCTTTGTTGAGTATTTGTAAAGCGGAGTCTTAGGTGGACGATACTAAAGCGGACCGTCCTGCGAACTTCATCATCTTCCTCTGTGGGATGAGCACCATCCAACCAGCCTGACCAGTCTGTACCACATCTATATGCTACCGCACGTGTTGTTGGCAATTTTCTTCCTGCAGCTCCCACAAAACGGTACCATCCCTCAGGGAGTTGGCGGTCACACAACTTTGAATCCTAATGTGTTATGCAACTTATCTTTCGATTGGCTTCACTCAGGGTTTTATAATGATAGCAAGAATCGGCTACAAAGTGAAATGACAATTGCAAAAAGACTAAGACTATTAAAAACAATGGTACAAGATTTTTCCTAACGTCATATAATTCTGGCAGCTTGCCAATCAGTGGTGAAACTTGTACCTAACAAGAAAAATGACGATATGCATTAATTAAGGGGTCAAGTAGTACTTGTGTAGGATATAATCACTCGAAGAGGCTAAAACAGTGATATTGGAGATCCAAATGAATTCAGCAGGATCTGAATTTGAACTCCTTCTTTCGCATCTTTCGCGAACTCATATTTTTGGTAAAGCAAAGTGGCGTGCTACTACAGCGCAAGTGCAGAATAATACGATTGCTAAGGAATAGGTGATAAATGACGAACATGGGAAAGTATACAGCTATCGTTTGGCGCTAGCAAACATTGAATGGGTGAAATTGGGAAAAAGAGAGGGAAAGAACAAAGCAGTAAGTAAGCGCGGGAAAATGTGGAGGTGCTCAAAATCGCGGGAAAATCCCAGCAAAAGGAAATTTTGCCAAGGTGGAACTACTCTTTGGATCTAGCGCGCGATGTGCACGTGCGAACATTTTACTTTGGGTTCATCGCTCTAATACTATTGTGCATCAATCAGTCGTTGAAAACTGAGACCGAAGGTTATCTTCATACGGTGAAATAAAACACAATGAAAGTAATCGAGTGGTGAACTTAGTTTTATTTACATTCAAAGGATTAAAGTTGATTTCTGACAGGCACAGTTATGATCAGATATAAAGTTGATGTTCAAATAAGTTTTAAATCATATTTGACCAATTCTTTGTATAACTCGATATCGACCTGAGGTTCAGACGTGCTTGATAAATCAAGAACAAGTGAGGTCGAAATTTCATTCATAGGCCTTGTTAAAAGGCTTCCTTCCTGGATGACATCACATCTCAAAAGAATCAACCGTCCGACAAAGTGTTTCTATACAAACTGAAGTTTTTTTTCATGGTAAGTTTAACATATGTTAAATATCGGGGCTAGGTAAGGCTAAACGCAAATCTCAAATCTCCTTATCTCTCAGTCTGTAGCAGGCTCTGGAATCGCCTGCGAAAAAAGGCGCTCAGCTGTTTTCCTGAGAACCACAACCGCCGTTTGTGGTTTGCTCGCCCTTTCGCATGTCTTTACTGTCTTAGAGACTGGAACCGACTTTTTATGTCTCTATCCACCTCTAACCCCCCTTAAAACTACATACTGTTTTTTGACATTAGGATAAAAACGTTTAAATATTTTAGCTACACCTCTAACTGGTTAAAATCTACCAGGCCAGTCGAGCCTAATGATTACATGAGATTAAAAAAGAAGTTGAACCTTGGGCGACATGTTCTTGATATTGGGGTTGCATGATTATATTCTTGATATTTCCTTTTGATTTTTGTTATGGTAAAGCATAGTGTGAATTGAGAAAGAAGGAAAATGAAATGCAACCTCGGCTTTGTACTATGAGGGGTGATCACCGCCAATATTTTCTTTCAAATTCTGCTATAAAGGACCAACAATTTCCATTTCTTCTCATCAGAACTGAAACTAAACCGGCAGAAGAGAATTAAAGAATTAAGAACACAGCGCAAAGGAATTTAGTTGACGCTGAAAGTCACGGATCAGAGTCACAACTGAACCAAGAGAACAACATTTGAATTATAAGAACACTTCTCTCTTTTTGCGCCGCCACAAGCCTAAAGTTATTTTTGGCTAGACTACCCGTTTTTGGATAATTCAGTATGTCTGGATAACACCAGAATGCCAAATTTATTCCTTAATCTTTGGGGAACAACCAAACTTTTTTTAAAACTGATGTGTCCTATACCCCCTTTCATGGGCAAAAAAATGAAAGAAAACCCGGGTTGAAGAGAATTTAAGAATTAAGAACACAACTCAGAGAAATTTAATCCACTGATCAGAACCAAAATTGGACCAAGAGAACAACATTTAAATCATAAGAACAGAAACTGAGACATGAGACAGAAATTGAAGTAACAAGACAGAAATTAACACATCTGATCATTCCGCTGTTCAATCTTTGTTCTGATCAGGCCTGGGGACGTGACACGATCACGGGTAGCCAAGTGAGGCCCGGGGATAATACTCAAGTGCCACTTTCGCTAGGAGCGGTCCTCTTGACTTCCAATTTCCCGTCGAAAAAAAGTTTTCTTTCATTTCCTGTCCAATTTTGGTTCTGATCAGTGACTTTCAGCGTCAACTAAATTCCTTTGTTGTGCCCTTAATTCTTAATTCTCTTCTGCCGGTCTTCTTTCATTTTTTGCCATGTAGAGGGCTTAGGACACATCAGTTTTAAAAAATGTCTTGTTGTTCCCCAAAGATTAAGGAATAAAATTTGGCATTCTGGTGATTTCAGACATACTGAATTATCCAAAAACGGGTAGTCTAGCCAAAAATCACTTTTGGCTTGTGGCGACGCAAAAAAAGAGAGGTGTTCTCATAACTTAAATGTTGTTCTCTTGGTTCAATTGTGGTTCTGATCAGTGACTTTCACTGTCAACTAAATTCAATTGTGTTCATCAATTTGGGTTTTGACTTGCTGATTTCTGTTCCTAATTCTTAAATTCTCTTCTGCCGGCTCAATTTCAGTTCTGATTAGAAGGAATGGAAATTGTTGGTTCTTTATGACAGAATTTGAAAGAGAACATTGGCCGTGATCACCCCTCACATTGCACTGATACCTCTGTGGTAGTCCTCAATGGAGAGAAGCAATTTTCCCTTTTCGATAATTCTTGTAGGAACCTATCACAGGCAGCGAGTGTTTAACTTCTGTGAAGCAAAACTTTCGCTATCTTGCGGTGCAACACCCAAGCTACAACAATATATATTTTAACACTAAAAAATTATTGCTTTATGATTAAAATGATGCCCATATAACATAATCTAAGTTATAGGAAGTTAAAAAAAATTGACATTACTTAACTGGTAACATTTCCATATCTACTCTTTTCAACAATGATGCAACTGAAAACGCACGTGCGACGCAAATGACGGCGGTGCGCACAACGGCAGTGCGCGCTAAAAATTCCTCATCTATAATGGGGAAAGGGTTTGCAACTTGGGTGTTTTCTAAGATCTGATATTTAGAATGCTCTACAACATGATGTTCCAATGGAGGCGCCCTAAACCTTGCCAGCCTAAAATGCGCTGTCTTTTTACAACAGACTGCTCTTTCTATCGGTTCATTGGCCTAACAAACTACACAAGATGTTGGAAGAACGAGAGAAAAGTTTGTAAATCACTCTTTCACTGCTCACAATCTACGAACATTTTGAGTGTTCTACTAACATATTGAGTAGTTTATCACGCTAGTAAACGAATAGAAAGTGCAGTCTGTTACTTTTGTAACTAAAATTATATGTATCGGTACAATAAACTATTGATTTCCCACCAATCAGAGCGCTTTTTTTAAATACGAAAATAAGCGACTAAGCACTGAGAGAATACAGAGCAAGTTCTGTTGACCGGGCCTTGTGTGAGGAGGCATTAACTCTATTAACTCTATTGTTACGATACTTACTTGATACTTACTTAGACAGCATAGTTTTCAGTGTTTAGTTTGTTATTTCGAAAAAAACCTCAATGTTAGCTGGAGTAAATTGACGACTTCCTGTGAAAAATCCACAGTTTTCACCCGAATAACCAGTGGGGTTTTTGTACGTCTGGCCGCATTCAGTATGAGAGTGTTGATTGTTTTTTGCGTCATCTGATATGTAGATATCATGTCCTACACCAAAAGTGGGTCCGTAAGAGGAACATCTGTACATTGCGTATTGCTGGTTTTGGTATTGTGTCCGCTTCACGGGATTGTATCCTTTGACGTTGTAAAGAGAGAAAACAAAAGCTTTGCTGGCTGAAGAATAAGCACAGGGACCTAAAATGAAACGATTTAGGAGCATTAGAAACTATGCGAATGAGAAAAAAATACATGATGATAACCATAAAAATTTTTTTTTTATTTGCCGAACTAGAACCGAACACTTAAATTTGTCAGAGAAAATTTCAAAGAACTCGGGAGCATATTTTCACTTTTCAAAAAAAGCACTCGAGACATGGTCCGAAGTGTTGTTCAGAGGCAACATATGATCTAAAGAGAGCATTAATTAAACATCCTTCGTCTGATCCAATATGAATAATGGATACAGCGAAACACGGGGAAATGACACGAAATGGAGCTGTCAGAATCAAATCAAATCAAAACCAGACTCTAATCAAAAATCAAATCCGAAACAAGACTTTAAGTTGAAACCCGTTTCAAACGCGTTTTCAGGCTATTTACGAGTTAATCTACTTTGGGATCGCAATTGTTAATGTGATATTTTCTGTTTCTAAGATGAACTCACTGCTACTAGAAAAGTACACAACTAATCGATTTGTTATCTGTTCTACATGTGAGAGATGTTTGCTTTTTTTTTACTCACTGCTGGTCCAGGACACGTCAGTGTATCCACCAAAGATATAACTGTTAACTTTGATGATAGTCACTGTGGGTCCCCTCCCATCGCAGTTACTGTGGAATGTCGATGCTGCCCAACCGTCCGTCTTTGCGTGCCAACACCTAACAAACCTACTACGTTCTTTATTGATAAGGACTGGGTCCAAATACGAAAACAGTACCTTCAAGTACTGGTTGTAATCAAGACTTCGAAGTATGGCGGACAAACCAAGGCCTGAGGTGGGAAAAGAAAAGGAAAAATTACAGTTGGCCAAATAAACGAAACAAGAGCTTTGATTGGTGGTGTCGCCTTTGAATCTAAAGTGGATAATTTCATCACCCTTCGTTTGGCCCGCTAGATATGATAATCTAACATTACTGATCCGGCAAGTTAGAAAATTCCCAGCCCGTCTACCAGGCGGTATTTTAGGCGGCAGAGAGAATGAAATTTATTTTAAAGTTCACAAAGCAACCAGGTGGACAATCAGACATGGTTTGATGCTACTCTGGTTTAAAGATTTAATGAATGTAACCGAAAAGTTACAATTCATAGACCCAACGTTTCAACACTCCTGTCTAGTTTCTTCATCATCACCCCTGATGAATGCACTAGACAGGAGTGTCGAAAGATTGGGACTATGAATTGTAACGTCTCGGTTACATTCATTAAAATCTTTGAGCAAGAGTAGCATCCAAACATGCCTGAAATTTTTTTGTTAACTTAGCCGTTCTTTCAAGTGGCCCCAACAATTCCGTTGAATGTAATGCCCACAAACCCCCGCGGCAACTCAGACAAGTCCTTGTCAGGCTCGTCACGCAACGCGTTGCGTGACCAACTTAAATGAATACTACAAAAGAACTTTATAAGCCTACACGTACCCTTAAAATGACAAAAAGTAAACTTTCCGTAATCTAGCAACACAACTTTCTGAGAATATTTCTACAATACGCGATTGATTTTGCTACAGGCCCTACAAAGTATTTATCCTTGGAAAGGGGTGTTTTTCTTGATTACCTGCTTCATAGAATACTTCGACGTCTGTTGGAGAGAAATGAGACCCCCCTGTAAAAAACCCACAGTCACCAGTTGAGTACCCTGAGGGTGTCGTGTACGTACAACCGCATCTAGTGTGGGAGTTCTGGTTGTTTCCAGAGTCGTCGGATATGTAGATATCATGATAACACCCAGCGCCAAAGGTGGGTCCATACGTATTACATCTGTACATTGCATATTGCTGATTTCGGTATTGTGTCAACTCTACGGGATTGTATCCTTTGACGTTATAGAGAGAGAAGATGAAAGCTTTACTGGCGTAGGAATAACCTGCGCAAGAGCCAGCTGAAATAGAAGAACAATGTAGTCGTACATCAAAAAGCTGAAAGAAAACATAAACCCCCTCAGGAAGGAGAGGGGTGGGGAGTTCATTTTCAATAATGAGCTAGACGAAGAGTTTTTTCTCAGACTAGAGATTTGTGAAAGGGAGGGAGATATTTTACTAGTTTGGGTATAGAAACGAGTACCAAAAAAAATTATGGAAGATTTTAGGGGTTACTTTGGAGAAAAGCGAGTAAATATTTTTGAGACTTGAAGCAAATGTTTTAGGATGTAATGTTGTTCTGCAGGTGTATCGCATAGAAAACATTTCTATAGACGACACTGGTGTGAAGAAATCTTGATGGCCAAAACACTAATATGAAAAAATAAAGGCTTAGAGCTAGTATCAAAGGAGCATCGTTTAATATTTCCTCCGGCACCCTCTTACCCCCCCCCCCCCCTTAAATCCCAAAAGGAATGAACTTGTCTTGTCCCTTCTTAAAAAATTTGATATGCCTGCCTCCGCTCCAGGACACATCAGTATATCCACCAAATATGTAATCGTTCACTTTGATGATTGTCACTGTGGGTCCCCTCCCATCGCAGTTGCTGTGGAATGTCGATGCCGCCCAGCCGTCAGTCTTAGCATGCCAACACCTAACAAAGTCAGTACGGGATGCAGTGGGAAGAACTGGGTCTAAAAACGAAATCAGCTTTCCCAAGTACTTATTGGGGTCCAGGCCTCTAAGTATAATAGATGCACCAAGGCCACCTATGTGCATAAAAGAAACTCGAATGTAAATTACAATAACAGGCGTTCTAGAGTATAGAAAGATGTTATTTCTTCTTTCACAACCGAGGGAGTTTTTCACAAAAAATAGGGTCCCACGTCTTATTCACAGGACAAGGTGATCCCATTCAAACTCAATATTTCCCTGTGCACTTATTGTGTGACGAACTTAAATGAATGCGGCGAAAGAGACTTTACAGGCTTACATATTCCTTTGAAATGACAAAAAGTAAGCTATCTGTACTCTAGGAGCACAACTTTCTGAGGATGTTTCTACAATACACGATTTGATTTTTCTACAGGCCCTACAAAGTATTTATCCTCGGAAAGGGGTGTTTTTCTTGATTACCTGCTTCATAGAATACTTCGACGTCCGTTGGAGAGAAATGAGACCCCCCTGTAAAAAAACCACAGTCACCATAAGAGTACCCAGAGGGTATCGTGTATGTGTAACCGCATCTGGTGTAGGAGTTTTGGTTGTTTCCGGAGCCGTCGGATATGTAGATATCATGACCATTCCCAAAGGTGGGTCCATACGTATTACATCTGTACATTGCATATTGCTGATTTCGGTATTGTGTTAACTTTACGGGATTGTATCCTTTGACGTTATAGAGAGAGAAGATGAAAGCTTTATTGGCGTAGGAATAAGCGCAAGAACCAGCTGAAATAGAAGAACGATGTGATCGTACATTAAAAAGTTGTAAGAAAACACGAACCCTCTGAGAAGGGGGGGGGGAGTTCATTTTCTATCATGAGCTAGACGGGGAGATTTTTTTTCCAGACTAGAGATTTGTGAAAGGGAGGGAGATATTTTACTAGTTTAGGTATTGAAACGAGTACCAAAAACAATTATGGAAGATTTGAGGAGTTATTCTGAAGAAAAGCGAGTAAACATTTTGAGACTTAAAGGAAAAGATCCCTTTGTTCTAAGTGTTTTCATTACTAGACGTGTTAGGATGTAATGTTGTTCTGTAGGTGTATCAAATAGGAAACATTTCTATAGACAATATAGGTGTGAAGAAATCTTGATGGCCAAAAAACTAATATAAAATAATAAAGGCTAAGCGCTCTTATCAGAGGAGCATCATTTAAAATTTCCTTCAGCACCCTCTCCCCTCCCCCTTGAATCCCAAAAGGAACGATAGTTGATCCTATATAGTTGTCTTATTTCCTCTTAAAAAAATTTGATATTCCTGCCTCCGCTCCAGGACACATCAGTATATCCACCAAATATGTACTCGTTCACTTTGACGATTGTCACTGTGGGTCCCCTCCCATCGCAGTTGCTGTGGAATGTCGATGCCGCCCAGCCGTCAGTCTTAGCATGCCAACACCTAACAAAGTCAGTACGGGATGCAGTGGGAAGAACTGGGTCTAAAAACGAAATCAGCTTTCCCAAGTATTTATTGGGGTCCAGGCTTCCAAGTATAATAGATGCACCAAGGCCACCTGTGTGCGTAAAAGAAACTCGAATGAAAATTATTATAACAGACGTTCTAGAATAAAGAAAGATGTTATTTTCTTCTTTCACTACCGTGGGAGTTTTCCACGAGAAGTCGAGACCCAGATCTTCTTATTCACAGGGTGAGGTGCTTACCATGTGATCCCACTAAAACTTAATATTTTCCTGTGCACTTATTTTGTAAACACATAAACTAAATTCCACGGGAACACATTTTGTTAAGTGCGTGTAAAAAAGGGAAACGAAAAGCAAAAACCAAAAGTTCAGTTTGGCTGGGTTGAACTGTCTGCTTCAGCCCGACTCAGCGATTCAATTTCATGGCAAAACATGGCATCTAGATCAATTTGTTCCCTGATTTAGTTGATATACACTGATACCCCGGAACTGAGATACAATTTATCTACCACTGCTGCCACAATAACATCAATAGTATTTCGCTGCTGTATAGGGTTCAGGGCATGCGCTCCTAGAATCCTTGACGTTGCTAAAAATTAAAGTTTATTTTTTTATTCATTGCAGGGTTTTAAGTGTTACTGTACAACAACTTACCTATTTTGAAGAAAACTTCAACATCAGATGGAGTAAAATAACGACTTCCTGTGAAAAATCCACAGTTTTCACCCGAATAACCCGCGGGGTTGGAGTAAGTCTGGCCGCATTCAGTATAAGAATGTTGATTGTTTACGGCGTCGTCATATATGCGGATGTCATGTCCCGAGCCAAAAGTGGGTCCGTGAGAGGAACATGTGTACATTGCGTTTTGCTGGTATCGGTATTGTGTCAGCTTCACAGGATTGTATCCTTTGACGTTGTTAAATGAGAATAAAAAGGCTTTGGTGGCGTAAGACCAAAAACAGGAACCTAAAATGTTAATTAAAATGGAAATGCAGAGATGCATCCAAAGTTTAGACTGGTAGAGGATCAGGGACCAGCCCCAAAAAGCAAATTTTTTTTTGACCGTTTTTACATTTAAGATCGAGTTATGGATAGTTTCTTAATTCAAACGATAAGAATATCAAGATACAAAACAAAATGGATCGGTCCTTTGATGTTGTTAAAGGAGAAGAGAAAGGCTTTCCAAGCATGGGAGTTCCCACATGAACCTATATTATGGGTGGCGTTGTATGAACATAGTACATGTAAGTTCTATTAGTCAATTGTTAGACCATCCTACGATTCCTTGAGGTCCCTCAAAAAAGGGAAGTGGGATGATCTACAAATGGATGACAAGTATAAGTTAATGAAGGTGGGTACAGCTGCAGCGAATTTTGAAGCTTCTTTAAACTCGCTATGGCGGTTAACCAACCCTTACTAGAGTGTTATAAACGAGAGCACTTTGAAGGGTCATAGCGGAGCCATAGAGAAACGTGACAACGCACCAAGAGATCCTGAGGGGGGGAGAGAATGGGGCTTCTGGTCCAGGCCCTGAGATACGTCAATCAGTCTTATACCAAGTGTGACTTGGTATGTGGCGTTTTTCTGGCGCCTCGCGCAGCCTTTGTTCTTGTCCTTTGTTTTGATTGGCCAGTTTTAATGACCTTGGTTTTGGCTTTGCGACACTTATTAAGTGCAGTTTAGATAGAAAATATATTTGGATTCTAAATTTATGAAATGCTACTGTATGATACAGCAGTGATTTAAATTTTATTATTCAAAAACGTACTCACCGCTTGGTCCCCAGGACACATCAGTGTATCCACCAAATATGAAATCGTTCACTTTGATGATTGTCACTGTGGGTCCCCTCCCATCGCAGTTGCTGTGGAATGTCGATGCTGCCCAGCCGTCTGCCTTAGCATGCCAACACCTAACAAAGTCAGTACGGGATGCAGTGGGAAGAACTGGGTCTAAAAACGAAATCAGCTTTCCCAAGTATTTATTGGGGTCCAGGCTTCCAAGAATATCAGATGCACCAAGGCCACCTGTGTGCGTAAAAGAAACTCGAATGAAATTACAATAACATACGTTCTAGAATAAAGAAAGATATTATTCCTTCTTTCACAACCGTGGGAGTTTTCCACGAAGAGTCGAGACCCAGATCTTCCTATTCACAGGATGAGGTGCTTACCATGTGATCCCACTAAAACTTAATATTTCCCCGCGAAAACAAATAAATTCCACGGGAGCACATTTTCTCAAGTGCATGTAAACCAAGAAACCAAAATCAAGAACCAAAAGTTCAGTTCAGTTGGGTTGAACTGTCTGATTCGGCCCGACTCAGCCATTCAATTTCATGGCAAAACATGCATCTAGATCAATTTGTTCCCTGATTTAGTTGATATACACTGATACCCCAGAACTGAGATACAATTTATCTACCACTGCTGCCACAATAACATCAATAGTATTTCGCTGCTGTATAGGGTTCAGCGCATGTGCTTCTAGAATCCCTGACGTTGCTAAAAAGTCTATTTTTTTATTCATTGCATATTTGCGACAGGGTTTTAAGTGTTACTGTACAATTACTTACCTATTTCGAAGAAAACTTCAATATCAGATGGAGTAAACTGACGACTTCCTGTGAAAAATCCACAGTTTACACCCGAATAACCCGCGGGGTTGGAGTAAGTCTGGCCGCATTCAGTATAAGAATGTTGATTGTTTACGGCGTCGTCATATATGTGGATGTCAAATCCCGAGCCAAAAGTGGGTCCGTAAGAGGAACATGTGTACATTGCGTGTTGCTGGTTTCGGTATTGTGTCAGCTTCACAGGATTGTATCCTTTGACGTTGTTAAATGAGAATAAAAAGGCTTTGGTGGAGTAAGACCAATCACAGGTACCTAAAATGTTGATTAAAAGGGAGATGCAGAGATGCATCCAAAGATTAGACAGGTGTACGATCTGGGACCAGCCCCAAAAAACTGTTTTTTACATTCAAGATCGAGTTATGGATAGTTTTGAAATTCAAACAATGAGAATATCATGAGACGAAACAAAAGTGGATCGGTTTTTTGAGAAACGGTTCAAACAACTATTGCTTAGATTTCTATCCTAAGACATGGCTTTGGGCCCGTAACGTTACCAAGAATTTCAAGAAACACCTTTTAGGGGACATTTTTTTTTCTGTTTTAGACACCAAGCTAGATTCCCTGCCTTTCAACGTTAATTATTTTCCCTTCTAAATCTTTCAAACTTTGCACCAAAAAAAAATTAATGGCCAAGATCTACTTACTGCTCCATGATACGTCGGTGTATCCACCAAATATGGAATTTTATTATTCAAAAACGTACTCACCGCTTGGTCCCCAGGACACATCAGTGTATCCACCAAATATGGAATCGTTCACTTTGATGATTATCACTGTGGGTCCCCTCCCATCACAGTTGCTATGGAATGTCGATGCCGCCCAGCCGTCTGTCTTAGCGTGCCAACACTTCACGAACCTGCTCCACTCTGAACTCAGGAGGACTGGCTCTAGGTAGGAAAGCAGCTTACCTGTGTAGTTTTTGTAGTCGAGGCTGATAAGAATAACGGAATTATTAAGGCCACCTATACGAAAAACCGAAAAAGGGAGAAAAGGTAAGGATTGCCCTACCTTGAAGTTTTGGCGTCATGTTGCATTCGTCATTTTGTTGGTGGTAATGTCTACAACTTGCTTGCTTGCCTCGTTATTTGCACCAATTAATGTATTCTTAGAATTAGAGGAAACCACGCAATAAGAACGTGGAACTCCCTATAGAACTATGAACTATTTTCATTTGTTTGTTTTCTAAGGATTACAAGCAGAGAAAAGTCATATATACTTATTAAACTGGACCTCAAATTTGAGGAAAAGGGATGTTTGTTCAATGCCAAAACGTATTTAGTCATTCGATACTTGCGGTTTTTAACCATTAGCTTGATTTGCATTGTGGTCAGGAAATGCAATATGAAATGAATAATGGAGAAAGGCTGGTTAGAGCTGTATTAGTTAGGATTGTTCGTAAGGAGCTGTTAACGAGTTAGAATTTGGAGTTTGTCCGTTATCGAGCAGTCACTTGAACAGCGATCGAAAACCGATTGTTGGCGACTGGAGGTCGTAACACGAAGTCGAAATTCTACTTTTGAGCGAACACTCCTTCGAGTAAGGATTTTGAGTTGGACTTCGAGCTGGATTTTTGAGTTGAAGTTTCCAGTAGGGCAAGGTATAGAACTTGAAAAGATGCCAAAATAGTTCTTTTAATTTTTGCGGGCTACAAAATTATTTGCGGTCCTGCATGACATAATTCCACATGTTAGTAAGGTCCATACGCTTTGTTTTGTTTAAGAAGTGTACTAATCAATTATTCAAGACTCGGACTCCTTGTTAGTCTCCTACTTGTTTTTGAAAACTTTTACGATCCTTCCGGCAAAAATTCGTTTTATTTCTGATACTCACTCAATTATACCGGCCGGAGTTAGTAAACTTTTCAAGTTGCAAAGTGGGGACATCAAGATATTGCTTTTTGAGCATATTCATTAAGAATTTTCAAGTTATCAGTGCATGTAACTGGGATTGCAAAAAAAATTGAAATAAAAAGTTGAGTACCGAGTGAGAAAACTCAATATAAACTGCACCCAATGAGAAATTTTTCCGCAAAATTTAACTTACAGAATTTAGCGTAGCGTATGAAAAATTTTCAGCTGTTCGACTTGGACTGTTTAAAGTTTTGTTGAAAATGATACTTTTCAATTTGATCGTTGGCTTGCCAATAAAGTGATCCATTATCTAACAAATCCCTTTTAAAATATTTATTAAAAGGAAGTGCGAGGTATAGAATTTCAAATTTGCCTGCATCCTTATGCCTGGCTCTTTCTCCAACACTGATGATAAGAGATCTTTTTTATTCAACGACCAAGCTGAAACTTCATCACTCCGGAGAGTGACCAAGACAGAATTACTCCTTACAATATCAGTACAATGTCAAGCAGACAAGTAATGAGAATAAAGAGAAATATAAATTGAGGGAATATTAGTTGTTAGTGACCCAATGCCAAATTCTCCAAACTAGCATCATAAGAACTGCATGGTAAACAGTGAGTGGAATTACAAATGTGCAGACGAGTTGGACGGGACGATTGTGAAATACGCCGCTGATTTATATGTACTACCTAACCCACAAGTTGCAGCTCTGAGGTTCATTTGTTAGGCCGTGAGGCCAGAAAAATTTAGAAAATGCATCGTTGTTAAGGAGTTCCGTTTTAATTCAAGCTAGTGTCGACAAGTGACAACGAAGGCTTTTGAAAACAGTGACAAAAATGCGCCTCTTCTCGTCGCTTGTATTAGCCTTTTTGGGTGTGTTAGTGCGGATGATACGTTTTCAAGTGTAAACACCGAATTGTAGACAGTTGAGAGGAATGTGAAAACGCTGGTGTCCTTGGGTGAAAATGGTGTACTTCATTTTCCAAACGAAATACGGACAATTTTCAAACTGCATTATTGAACAAAAATATTAATAAAATTAAAAAAATTGTAGTCGGAGCTTGTCAGGGACTGGTTTAATTGTCTGAGGCTGGAATCTTCGGGGGGAATCAGGATATGTTTCACACTTGAGTCGGATTTCTAACACGACCGTTTTATTCTACCTTCACCCAAATGATCTCGAACTGAACGTTTGCATGTAAACTTGGCATAAGACAGCAGCTTGACAGTTTCTGAAATATTTTTTACGCTGCTGAATCGTCGAGCAAAATGAAAAACTTGGTTTATAATCAACCATGAGTTTGTAAAGGAAGCGAAAACCACCGCAGCGAGGTTTGAAAAACTGAATTCAAAGTTTCGAGTATAGTCGCTTCGTGGGAGCAATACAATTCTTAGTTTATCAATTAACGAGCTCTTTTTCACAATATGCTGGGATTTGAGTCCTTACAGTGGCTTTCTAGCACTTGTGAAACGAATTTCACATCTTTCTGCACGCTTTAACTTTTCTCGCAAAAATATTCAAGGTTTGGCGAAGGTGGGAGACATAGATGGAAGTGAAAAAAAAAAAAAAAAAAAAAAAAAAAAACGAAAGAGACCGCTGCCTTCGTAAGAACTCTCCTGACTAAGCCAATATCTCCTCCATCCTATTTTACTCTCTTATCACAGCAATTAAGCCTCTTGTTGCCAGAAAAAAACTCGTCCAGTTTTTTTACATAAGTTCTGGGTTTCATCGAGACACCGACAGTTTTCATTTTCCTTTTTTTTTCTTTAGCAGAAAGTACCTTTGCGTAGCCATGCCATTCTGACATAGCTCTATCTGTAAACGAAATACTCTACAACTAAGCCCAAACAAAATTATTTCCTACCGTTTTCTCCGAAAATGTTTCTTTGCTGGCGATTCTTGTCTGTATGTTACTGCAGCTCTTGCAATTGATACCGACACAAGTGCAGGTGGGAAGGATCTTATTTACATTGGGTACTATTATCCTGTTGTTGTACCTGCCTATTGAGGAATTACCCAGGAGAATAATGGCTACTAAATTTAATCACATTTTGAAATTTTCAATCAGTCATAAAAACCTCACGTTAACATTTCTGCGGCTTTTTAGGACTATGGAAAAGTTCTGAGTGATTCGTATGACACCTTCCAATAAAAAAAACAGGTCAAAAGTGACTTTGGAAATACTCACATTTGCGTGGGGACATCGAGGTTTTGCTTTTTGAACACATTTATTAAGAATTTTAAGTTATCAGTGCATGTAACTGGGGTTGCAAAAAGGATTGCAAGAAAAAGTTAAATACCGTGTAAGAAAACCTATTATAAACGTTAACTGCCATAAATAAGAAATTTTCCGCAAAACTCAACTTAAAGAATTTTGCATAGTGCTTGAAAAATTTTCAGCTGCTCGAGTTGGACAGTATGAAGTTTTGTTGAAAATAATACTTTCCAATTTGATTGTTGGCTTGCCAATAAAGTGAGCCAATATCTAACAAATTCTTTTTGAAACATTTATTTTAAAAAAGTGCGAGGTATGGGATTTCAACTTTGTGTGCTTCTTTAACCCGGCTCTTTCTCCATTACTGATGACAAGAGATCTTTCTTATGCAACGACCAAGCTGAAATTTTACATCTTACTCAGGTCCATACGCTTTGCTTCGTTTAAGAATTGTTTAAACTAATCAATTATTCAATAGTCGGACTCCTTGTTAGTCTCCTACTTGTTTTTGAAAACTTTTGCGATCCTCCCGGCAAAAACTCGTTTCACTGATTTCTCTAACCCTAAGCAGTCATAACGGCCGGAGTTACTAAACTTTTCAAGTTGCAAAGTGGGGACATCAAGATATTTCCTTTTGAACACATTCATTAAGAATTTTCAAGTTATCAGTCCATGCAACTGGAGTTACAAAACAGATTGAAATGAGTTGAGTACCAAGTGACAAAACAAATGTAAACAGCGAAATGTAGACAGTAGAGTGGATTGTGAAAACGCTAGTGTCCTTGGCTGGAAATGGTATGCTTCATTTACCAAACGAAATACGGACAGTTTTCAAACTGCATTATTGAACAAAAATATTAATGAAATATGAAAAAGTGTTGTCGCAGCCTTTCAGGGACTGCTTGAAGTGTCTGAGGCTAGAATCTTCGCGGGGAATCAGGATATGCTTCACACTTGAGTCAGATTTCTAACACGACCGTTTTATTCTATCTTCACCCAAATGATCTCCGCAATATTTGTAGGAAGCTGAAGAGCACTTGCATGTAAACTTGGCGAAAGACAGGAGCTTGCCAGTTTCTGAAAGATCCTTTTACGCTACTGCATCGTCGAGCAAAAGGAAAAACTTGGTTGATAATCAACCATGAGTTTATAAAGGAAGCAAAAACACCGCAGCTAAGTTTGAAAATCTGAAGTTTCGAGGCGCTTTTTTGGGAGTAATACAATGCTTAGTTTATCAATCAACGAGCTCTTTTTCACAATATGCTGGGATTTGAGTCCTTGCAGAAGCTTTCCAGCACTTGTGAAACGAATTTCAGATCTTTCTTCGCGTTTTAAATTTTTCAAAAAAATATTTAAGGTTTGGCAAGGGCGGGAGACACGGATGGAAGTGAAAAATAAATAAAAAAAAAAAAAATAGAGGAGACCGCTGCCTTCGTAGGAACTCTCCCGACTAAGCCAATATGTCCTCCATCCTATTTTACTCTATTACCACAGCAATTAAGCCTCTTGTTGCCAGAAAAAAACTCGTCCAGTTTTTTGACATAAATTCTGGGTTTCATCGAGACACCGACAGTTTTCATTTTCCTTTTTTTTTTCTTTAGCAGAAAGTACCTTTGCGTAGCCATGCCATTCTGACATAGCTCTATCTGTAAACGAAATACTCTACAACTGAGCCCAAACAAATTATTTCCTACCGTTTTCTCCGAAAATGTTTCTTTGCTGGCGACTCTTGTCTGTATGTTAGCGCAGCTCTTGCAATTGATACCGACGCAGGTGCTGTCCGACCTTATACGATGATACGTTTTCAAATGTAAACAGCGAAATGTAGCTTCAAATCTTCCTTGCGAACCACACACGTCAAGACTGATGGAAAATTAATTAAATTTTTTGAACTTCCGATATTTCTGTTTTGTTTTGTTTGGTTTTGTTCTTGTCGTGTTACTGACGTCTTCAATGT